CAGACCTAGGGCCACAGCCTTGGAAGCCTGAGGGTGAGGACTTCTTATCAAAGAGCCACAGGCACCTGAGTTGGGGTCTTATCAGGATACCCGATTTTATCATGACCATCACAGCCTGTCATGCATTTGGGGACCCACCTTCAACAATGCATCCATTAGGCCCCCAAACAAGGACTCTCAGGTGCCTTGGTTGAGGTGGGATGGACCCCACTGGATGAAGCAGGTTCGCGGTGGGAGCCTGTGGGTGAAACACCATAGTCCCCATTCAGAAGGCTCATAGTCACCTGAAGTAGGAAACAAGTTTCTCCTAATTGTACTGATGGCTCTTACCCTTGAGGGCCCCTCACTCACTGACAGAGGTTCTCCTCTGGAGCTATTGACGGCCAGCATCTGGAGTGGGTCTGTGCAATCCAGCTAGAAACGTATCGTGGAGAGAAGACTCTTCCTTTCCCTCCAGGAACAGCTTCATTTTCTGTCTGGTCTTTATCAAGGATAAGAAAGTCCTTTCATGACAGCTCTGATTTCTCACCTACAATTCCAGTCCCCTCTCAGGTCAGAAGCTATTCCCAGGAATCCTTCCCTGGGAGCCTTTTGCTCTCATCTCCATCCCCATCTCGCCTCCAGCACCTCCAGCCCATCTCTCCTAAAGTCAGGAAACATGGACTCCACTCGGAAGTGGTCCTCTGAGTTTCTAGGTCACTGAATCCTCACGTTTCCCCAGTTCTGTGATGTCAGGCACATATGAAACCTGCATTTTACCTCTTTTCTGTTTTATTTTGTTTTGTTTTGTAACTTTTGCAATGGTTGGGACTCTAAAGTGTTCAACATTTAACCTAGGAATGAAGATTCCTTTCATTTTTTTAATCTAAAAATTGTTTTGGGGGCGCCTGGGTGGCTCAGTTAGTTAAGCGGCCGACTTTGGCTCAGCTCATAGTCTTACTCGACTTCTCGACTTCTCGAGTTCTCATAGACTTACTCGACTTACTCAACTTCTCGAGTTCTCGAGTTCAAGTGCCACATCTGGATCTGAGCCTAGAGCCTGCTTCAGATTCTGTGTCTCCCTTTCTCTTTTTGCCCCTCCCCACTCTCTCTCTCTCTCTCTCTCTCTCTCTGTTTCTCTCTCTCTCTCAAAAATAAATAAACATTTAAAAAATTTAAAAATTGTTTTGGAGATTACAACCTTGGTACTATTTGTCATAAAAAGAGATTTTTACAAGAAACATGTACTGTTTTCGTGTATCATAGTCATTACCTATGATTGAATATGATACTAATGTAATAATATTTGTATAGAAAATATATACTTTGGCTGGATACCATTTATTTAAATGCTCTAAAATTATTTCTGAACTAATACTGGCATGTCATTTACATATCATAGTACAAAAAAAGGAAACCAGTGTTTGGATAGCAAGGATAATACGGTCTTATTTATGTTACAGAAATAAATCATATTAGACATTATTTCCCTTTTCAAAATGTCGATTCCATAACGAGTGCAATAAAAATGTATTGTTAACCGGAAAAAAGGAAAGAAAGCAAGAAAGCAAGAAAGAAAAAAAGAAAGGAACGAAAGAAAAGAGGAATGCTTTACGTTAATGAGTTTATAACACATATAAAGAACAAGAGGGGCGCCTGGGTGGCTCAGTCCGTTAGGTGTCCAACTCTGGATTTCAGCTCGGTCACGATCTCTCGGTTTGTGAGTTCAAGCCCCACGTTGGGCTCGGTGCTGAATTGAGAAGCCTGGCCGTGGAGGCTTTGAGGAGAAGACCACGGAGGCCTCTGACACAACCACCGGGTCCTCTTCTGTGTAAACAGGGGCCAGGCCATCACAGGACAGCCTCCCAGAGCCTCTTCCTCCCTCCTCACATACAGAGTTCATGCCCCACAGACCCTCCCGGGAATGGCCTGCCTGGTCTTCCTGGAGAGTCCGCTACCTGCTTTCACCCGGTCCTTACCCCAACGGAACACTAGGGGGCGGCCAAGTCAAGGGTTCAACTCACACAGTTCTCCTGGTGTAGGTCCTGGTCCAAAGTTGTTTTGTATTTTCCTATCACATCGAAGGTTATTGCTGTGAGGGTGTTTATTCAAAGTAAGCCTCTCATATCTCTCTCATTGTCTCTCATTCTCTCCCTGTCTCTCTTTCTCTATAAATGTTAACTGGAGACAAATTTGGTAACGGCTGGTGCATGATCTTTCTTTTGTCCTTCATGTTCTGTTGTTGAACTGCTGTTGGGACCAGTACTACAAGGATAGTTGGAAACAAGGATATTGGCGGAAATGTTAAAACCTTGGAATTAAGGCAAAAAACAAAAGCTGTTGCTCTCGTCTGCCCAGGCTCATCCTCAGGGTTGTCAGTGACTAGCAAATATTTGCTTTATTTTTTTCCTGAAAATCAGTAGATTTCTCCCATTTATTTTGCCTTAGGTAAATCATCTTGGAACAGAATTACCATTATACTAGATTAATATACACCCTCATAACTGGTTTCAAATTCCATCCAGGCCTGCTGGATTTCCAGAATATGAGAGAGCCACTGTCTGGGTTGAGGATGTTCCCAATTTCCTAGTCTAAGATTGTGAGATGTGAGGAAGCTGTGCCCCAGTGAGTGCCTGACAATTGTCATAGCCTAGAACTTGTTGTTCAACTTTGAGATTTCATCCTGTGTCTGCTCCAGGCAGTTCAGAATTTAGTTATGTCATAACATTTTATTTTACTAGTGATCCTTATTCTCAGCTGGGGATACTGGTGATCTAGAGGAGTCAACGCACACATTTCTGGAAGCCTCGACCCCGTCATGACAGGTGATACTTCCAACAGCATTTGCCCTTGGGGTTATCCTTGGCTCCAGGTCAACCAGAGACTGAGGACGTGTGAAGTTCACACTGAGAGGCTGCTGCTCCCCTAAGGCAGAAAATCACCATTTTCATTCACTAATTAAAATTCGCAATGACCCTTTGTTTGCAAATGTCACGTCTGAGGAACTGGGCGCTAAAACTTTAACCCTACTTTAAGGCGGATAGAAGACACAATTCAGCCAATAAGATTGTGTAGAAACAATCCACACAACTTTTGAAAATAGTCCTACAAAACTAGCTTTACAATTTCTAAAGAGTCCTTTCTTTATCTTTCTTTCTTTCTTTCTTTCTTTCTTTCTTTCTTTCTCTTTCTTTCCTTCTTTCTTCCCTTCAGCTGTTAATGTTCTGACTGCTTTCATTGGCATATTTCGTAGGAGGCTGCCATTGTCAGGACACAGACAATAATACTGGTAATACGTATTTGTATAGATATCGTCAGGAGCCAGAAGGAACACCTAGAATGACTTTGCTTATAATCATAAGAAATGACCCGGCCAAGGCAGCTCCAAACCTGAGCTCAGGTAGTACACTGAATGGTAAACAATATTGTAAATAGTGAAATACAAGGCATGTATGGTTCCACATCTACTCCACACGCTTACTTTTCTCTGCAACCAGGATTCTTGCCCCGAGTTCAGAGCTGAACGCTCCGCAGAATTGGGGCTCAGTTGTGTTCTCAGCTTGTTTTAACATATGATTCCTGAAGATTTCCCGGAAGATGTTCAGGCCAAACACCCCCAAAGAATCTTACATAATACCGTCATGTTAATCTGTTGTCCCGATCGACTACGGCTGAGTTTGCGATTAATATTCAACATAGAATAACATGGCAAATGTGTCTTTTTCAATTGGTCCAGAATTTGATTTGCAGGGAAAAGCAATGTGACATGAGCACTATTGTTCAGGAGCTGTTCATTTCAACGCCATCTGTGTTGGGCTGACGCGAGAAGTAAAATCACATCATTTTCCTATTTAATAAGGCTGGTGTGGTAGACGGATGCCCCAGGGCACCTCTGACCCAGCACCCTATCCCCGAGTGATCCGATTTAGACAGAGGCTCAGGACGTTGTCAGTGATAGGCTGAGGCTCCGTGAATAAAATACTGGATATAGGCATTGCCTTTCTCACACATGTAATCTCCCTTTGAATTGTAGACTCATGATGTTGGATCCCCAACCTTTAGGGCAGGTGAGACCACAGGGTCCCACACAAAGCTAAGGAAACTGGGATGTCCTCATAGGACCTGGTTCTGCTTGATGAAAAGGCATCAAAGGGTACCATTCAAATACAATTATTGTAAAATCATTTCTTTTTCTTTATTTCCCATTATCTCAAGGGATTTTTGTCTCTGAGAAATCCTTGGAATAATTCTATCCAACTATCTAGATGTGTGTGTGGAGTGAGAAAACAAGATAGACTAGACACCGTATTGTAAAAATTGCTTTCCCAGAATTTCATGTTTTCGCATTCATAGCCAGAGATATAATATTCTTTTACCTTTTCCTCTTGTCTCACACTGGGCTATTAGCTCTCCCTACAAGAGACCCGTTATTACGTCCCTGTCAAATTCATTTGTTGTGAGCACATTTGGGAAATTTAATTGCCAGGTTTCAGGAAAACACCATTTCTACACCTGATTCTTCCATTCTCAACATTTCACCTGATGACAGCAGCTACCAGACAATCTGGAAAGAGCTCAGCTCCAAACTGCTATTGGGAGAAGTGCTGATGACCATACTCATGGGACGGGAGCCACTTTCTTATCCAGACCAGGTGGAAGAATGTGAGCAGATGGCCATTCACCTCCCAGAGATGGACCCAGGGCACACATGTCTTCTCCCATCTCCGTGCTTTCTCTAGTGCAGGCCCAGTGAGCGCTGAGTCCCTGCCGTGATTCACCCTTTCACGTGGGATTATGTTCCCACTCCAGCAAGTTGCATGGACTTGACTTTATAGGTTTTCTCCCAAACACAGAAAACCTTATATAGCACTTTGCTTAAAGGGAGGCCCCTCCCACAACCTTCCAGCCCTGTCTACACTGTTGCACCCACAAGGGGATTTGCATGTTGTCCCCTCTGGAGGACCTTTCCCTTAAAGTCTAGATAAAAGGTCAGCTTGAATCCTGCTGTGACTTGTGAGGACTCATCAAGCCAACATCTCAAAATGAGGTTCCCTGCTCAGCTCCTGGGGCTGCTAGTGCTTTGGTTCCCTGGTAAGGACAGAAGGGATGAGAAAGAAGAACCAGGTGGGGAGGGTGAGCTCTGGGGGCACCACTGTCTCTGGGTGTTTACTGTGCACATGTCAGACATGTGTGACCTGTCCCCCAAGGTGGGGCAAGTGAGGTTTAGATCTGGGAGAGTGAGGAAGATTCCAGAAGGAACAAGGGCCTGTGCTCTAGTGAGGACTGTGCCACAGAAGGTGGGGATGGTGTCAGCGATGGTTAGAGAACTTTCTCCACTTCACAGATCTCAGGTTCATTATTGTAATTATGCATTTGTGGTGCCTGCTGGAAGTCACAAGTAATGGGAGAAAAACAAAGTTGTTTTTTAGCTAAAATAAATGAGATGGAAACAATGAAACTTGCTAAAAATATTTGTATGTAACTTGGCACCTCTCTCTCTGTTCCTCAGGATCCGGTGCGGATGTCGTGATGACACAGACCCCTCTGTCCCTGCCCGTCACCCCTGGAGAGCCGGCCTCAATCTCCTGCAGGGCCAGTCAGAGCCTCCTGCACAGTAATGGAAACACCTATTTACATTGGTACCTGCAGAAGCCAGGCCAGTCTCCACGGCTCCTGATCTATAAGGTTTCCAACCGGGCCTCTGGGGTCCCAGACAGGTTCAGTGGCAGCGGGTCAGGGACAGATTTCACCCTGAGAATCAGCAGGGTGGAGGCTGACGACGTCGGAGTTTATTACTGCCAGCAAAGTACAAAGAATCCTCCCACCGTGGTTCAGCCCAGAACACAAACCTCCCTTCCTGGGGGTCCAGCTGCCAGAGCATGTGGCCTCTCTGGGGAACACATAGGACGTTCTCTGAGTCTGTGTAAGAGGAAGGTGCTGTAGAACCCGGGGAACAGCCTGCAGCTGCACAGTACGGCCCCGTCAGCTGCACAGCCTGGCAGGCAGCATCAAAAGGGAAATTCAAGAGGTCCTGTCCTGTGAGGAACCGGTCAGGGGAAGGGAAGAGCCAATGACAGCTGCACCTGATCCCCGGTCCCTGCCTGTGTTTTCAATGAAATGCAGCCAGTCTAGTCACCAGACAAGTCACATAGATATTTGGTGACAAATTCATCCATACTGCAGATGAACAGTGTGGGGTATGTTTTCCACAGCATCATAGTTGCTAATATTGGTAATGTTGGTATTTTCTCACTTTCTCTTTTTCTTACTTCTCTGTGACTCCCTGTCCCCTGCATTCATATGTTCAAGAGAGCACTCGGCACAAGCTGTCCTCACCGAGAGTACGGATGAGAAAGGTTCGTAATGATGTTTAATTCTGGTAAAATCAAATTAGCCTTTTGAAAATTTTCTGTAAATATAATAAGATTCCAGTGCCAAGATTCTTTGATTTCCCTCCATTACATTTTTCGGAGTGCAAAGGGGGTTCTCGCAATTTCAAAAGTGGGTTTTGATACTAAACAGTGAAAAGGAGGGATCGAGACAAAAGTTACCTTTCTGTATCCCAGGAAAATCCAGAATACATGAGATTTTTCTTTCTCTCCTCAATGGTAAGGGTGTTAAGTATCTAGAACGTAAACACTGCTTTGCATATGACGAATTTGGAACTCTGTTGCTATAAGAAAAGGTTTTGTACAATACATGAACGCATCGTTCCATAGGATGTGCTCATTAGCCAAAAATGACCCCGAATGATATATTTTGGGGGAATGTGTATTAAATTCATGCATTGAATACATCCCCTTCAATAGTGCGCTTCAATGTGAATCCTGACTAATCACGGGGTCATACCATTAGTTCATGGCACATACAACAGAAGCAAGAGAGATTAAATTCACAAGCATCTAATCCTATGCCTAGTTAAGAAAATAAGGTGCACTAGAGATAATCGACTCTTCCAAGATAATGAATATCATGACAAGTACAATTAAAGCCAATGTTTCAGTTCTGGTTGCTTTGACAGGGTGTGGAAAAATGTATGCAGAAATCAAACTGACTGGAGGCCACACATCATGGCAGCCTGAGTGATTGGTGTGAAACTCCTTTGCTAGTATGCATGTTAATCGTTATCAGTTCAGACCTATAAACCCACTGCGTTCTTGTCTCCCACAAAGTTTGGTATACGGTATATTCTTTCAACTCAAAAAACGTTCCAGTTTCCCTTTTTGTTCTCTCTGGACCCGACTTTTGCTTGGTAATTTCTTACTTGGTTTCTAAATGTTTGGGGATTGTTTGATAACTTTCTGTTACTGACTTTGAATGTATTTCCCTGTTTTCATAGAATAACGTTTTATGGCTTGTATCCATTTTAATTGTATTGACATAACCTGTGGCCCCCACTTGTGGTTTATCATAGTGAATGCTTTGAGGGAACATGTATTTTATGACCTTCAGCACAGCATCCTCCAAGTGTGAATTATGTCCCTGTGGGTGATGTCACAGTTCGGGGCGTCTATGTCCTCACTGGCCCCAGGGTAGGGCTGTCTGCACTGGGGGCTGGACCTGCTGAAGCCCGTCCCCTGCTGTGGTCCCCACTGGAAGCCACCTGACTTCATGTCACCTGGTCCCCAGGCCAGACCAGTCCTCCTAGACGTGGATGGTCTTGTCCCAGAGTCAGGGATGCCAAAGGCAATTCCTTCTTAAAGTCAAAGGTAGACACTGAACACAATGGAAGGGAAGGTACCCTCCAATCCTGTTCATGGGGTCCCCAGGCCGGGGTCTCTCACCAATGGGGGAAAATATTTTATGAAAATAAACATTCTGCTGGAATCTAGAACTCTGTGGGTTGAGGTTGTTCCCCACTTACTAGGGTAAGGATAGGAAATATGGGGGAAATGTGCCCGAGGAAGTTTCTCCTAAATTATTGTACCTGGTAGTTTTTTGTGAAATCTTATGCTTTCATCATGTGACTGCTCCAGGGGACTCAGAATTCATTCATTCTATTTTTATTTTATTTTTTATTTCATTTATTGTATTTCTGATCCTTATTCTGCGCATGGCCGAGAGGTACTTTAGAAGAGTCGATACGCAGATTTCTGCAAGCCCTGCAGAATGAAGGCAGTTGAAGTTTCAAACAGCACTTGAACCTTGGCTTACCCTTGGCTCCTGCCTAGAAAAGGCCACATGGATGTGTAGGTCACCAGTGTGCAGCTGTTGCTCCCCTGGGGCAGGAAGTTACTGTTTTCACTTACAGATGCGGACAGAGACTGTACTTTATGATCAGGCCAGGAATGGCCACTGACAACTCCATTCAGCCCTTGCTTCTTTCTTGTTTGGTACAATTCGTGTTAACAACTGGAATAAAAAAGAGGGGGTCAAAGGGAATTGCAGTTAATTTAAAAAAATCAGCTTGAGTGATTGAATTCTGATTTTGCTTCTCCCAGAGGGTATAAAATTCTCTTGTTCAAATTTTGTGTAAGCATTTTGTAGATTCTTGCAATAGCTGAATATGGAAGCAACATTGAATTTGGGATTCTCAGGCTCCATTTTTCTGCGAGTAGACTAGCTTTTCTAAATAAAAAAAAAAAAATCCAAAGAAAATTATTTTCTTTTTTCTCCTGGAATATTAAATTCAGTTTCTCTCTTTCAATTCCCACATTGTATGTTCAAAGGCAGCGTCGATTTAAACTTAAAAGACTGGAATGCCCATGTCTCAAGAGAACCAGGCTCTCTTACAAGGTCAAACAGATTATGAAAACAGCGATTAAATTTGCAGACAAGCTGTGGCTTCTAGAGACCGTTATAGCAGGGACTCCCATTTCTGCAAGGGCGAGCCTAGGGAGGGTCTTCAAGGAGGTGAAAAACTTATCAGGCAGAGATGCTCAGTAGACAATAGGATTATTGTGTCACTTTGTCCAATCAGTCTGGACACGGCAGCGAGTTTCACGTTGACAGACAAAATGCCTTCATCTCCAGCACATGATTTTCTCACCTGAGCGATGAATCGTATACCTCTATAGGATTTTTGTATTGATTTCAAGAAAAAGGAAACAAAACTAAATCAAATAGTTGGATACAGATTCATATGAAGCCGATGAAAAGTGACACCTTGAGAATTCAGAAAAGTCAGGTATGTAAACATATCTGGTTCTCAGTGCTTTCAGAGAACCTATACACTCAGAGGATTAAGCACATGCACTGAGCCTTCCCAGACCTCCCTGCACATCGGGAGTCGTCCTCTCATGGGTAAAACATTGTAGTTATTCAGAAGAGATGGACACATTTAATCCCAGGGGCCTCAGGGGCAGGAATCCCTTCTAGTTCACCTATGGTTGGGGGTGCTCCTCAATGGCTGGGTTGATCTCAGTGCTCTGACAATGACATCACTGGGTCTTTAATCAGGAAGAACCTCTATTCGTGTCCATGGAGGGAAGAGGCTTTTGTGTATCTCTAAGCTTGGACAAAACAGTGTGGGTTTGGACTGTTTGGACCGACAAAGTCTACAGAACACGGTGCCCACAATGTGTGGGAGTATCTTACTCCCCACCTGTGACGGGACCACAGACTCAGAAGTTCCATCTGCAAGACCGCCTTCCCACATCACCCCACCTCCACACCAGCTTTCAGTTTCACTGAACCCAAACTAATGTCCTCCGACAACACAGACAAAATTACAGTAAAAGCCACCCATATAAGTTTTCTTCTCATTCAGCTGATGATGGTCACGTATAGAGATACACAGAGCCGCTCTGTTCCCCACTCAGACCCCATACGTCCCTTCACCAGATGTTATTATTTCTGTCCAGGCTGGAATGACTGACTTGGTTCAAGGGCTGATTTGTTGTCCAGGGCACAGAATGGTTTGTTAGAACTCAGAGTGTCACCCTTTCTGTCTACAGGTAGTAAAGGAAAACCGTGAAGCCTGTGTGACCAATTCTATAGGATGTTACATGTGTTGTGTATTTCAGAGCAACAGACTATGTGACAAAACAATAAGCCAGAATCAGAGACTCTTAAAAGACTTTTTTTTTACATTAATTTCACAGGAAATAACAAAACTCTCTGATACTGAAGTATCGCAAAGAATACTTTAT